AACATCTGCTATTCCCAAGCGGTCACTCATCTAGGTACTGAGCAAGCTCGACGTTGCTTAACTTTAGTGATCGTACGGAAGCCAGTGTTTTAATATGATATAGCTGTAAGCCGTCCTCCTTAAGACTTTCTTTACTACGATTTCTCGAATGAATGAATGAATCTATATCTATCTATTTATCTAGTGATTTTCCAAGTGTAGCTCATATGTGGCACAAGGCCGAAAGTATGGGGAACGCAGTGAGGCTCGAACTCACTACTCAGTCATAATTGACTATATATATATATATATATATATATATATATATATAGAGAGAGAGAGAGAGAGAGAGAGAGAAACAAAAACAAACAGATAGATTTGAATACGTCTCTATTTAACAGTCTTACTTGACGTACATATTCGACGTGGTATCATGGTTGGAAAGTTTGTCTTGCTAAATCAGTTACGACTGAGTAGCGAGTTCGGTCCCCACTGGGTGCTCCATACTTTTAGCCTTGTGCCACATATAAGCTACGCTTAGCAATTCACCATATAAATATTAAAAGGCGACGCGTCCTTCGTTTTCTCACTGCTGATCTCACTTTCAACTCCCAACTCTCGTAATCACTACTGTTTTCATTGTTTCTATAACAGCCTCATGTGTATACGTGACACACGCGCATGCGCAACACACATAAAGGCGAGCGTGTCTTTCAGGCATTCCTATATAATTGATATATATCGTATATCTAATGCACATTATTACACTTACGCACATTTAAAAAATATGTAAATTTTGAAAGTCATGACTTTTAGTTGTCCTTGATTTTGTTTATAGATATTACACATTTTCTGTATAATATTTAATACATATATGACGTCGACATGCTCAATTCCCTCTCTCTCTCTCTCTCTCTCTCTCTCTCTCTATCTATATATATATATATATATATATATATATATATATGTATAAAGGACCGGTGCAAGGATCTTCCCCTGAACCTACGATACGCTCCCCGTACTCAATTACATCTCATTTTCATAAGGTAGTATCCATATAAAATACAAATTTTCAAATTTTATTGTAACCTAATTATCTACAATAATGGACCATATGCAATTTTGGTGAACAATTCAGCTAATATATCTAAATACAAATTAGCGACATGTATTAATAGACATTCCATCGTAAACAAATCAAGAATGTTTTTGCGACCATTTTTAACATCAACTTGAGATTTTTATTGTTAAAATGTTAACCAATTTTACTATTTTTCAGGAATCAGCATGCACAAAACAAATGCTCACTACAAAACTAGAGATGCTCTACTTTTGTATTGAGCACTTTTAAGTGAGTTGATTACTCGTATCGGGGTTTTTTTTTCTTTGGGCTTTGGACCTGTATGATGTACGATTATTTTCGACAGACGTTCATGTTCCTAGCTCTTTCTTTTTTTAAAACTTTTTTTCTTTCGAAATTGATTTGATCATTAGCAAATCAAGAAACCGAAAGGTTTTTGAGACGAATGTATATATGGAATATATATATATATATATATATATATATATATATATATATATATATATATATAAGAGCGCGCACATTTTAGATTGATAAAGTCCTTTGTGCTGTGCTTGTTAATTCATTTTTTGAATTTCTTTACGACATGGTCTACCAGGAATCCCATCAATGAGTTTATCAAATGGAGAGCTCCAACCACAACTGGAATTATTAATGTCCGCATATGCCCCCATTTTTAAGATTTCCACTTCAAGATCTTTGCATTTTGATAGTTTTTTGAAGATCGTCAAAGATATGTTACAGGCTGCAGGAATTACTATGTCAATAAGAAAGCACGTTCCATTTTCTTTTTTATTCCCAAGTTACTATATTATATTTTGAACCCGATTTTGCTGGGTGCATAAAAGTCTGTGAGTGCTTGCGCGTGTGCTTCTGTTGTGCGTCCGTCCAGCGCATAATGATTTACGAGTTGTTTATGCAGTAATTATTTTTATTTTAACTTCAAACAGACAATTATTTTAATTAAAATATTTTTAAGTTAAAGACAGACACAAAGAGATCCCGCTTTGCCGTTTCATCCAGTTGTTTGTAGAATAATTATTCATATTTCAGCTTTATTAAACAAACAATATTTTAAATATCTCAAAAATATTTGTTGGCATATTAAAAAAAAATATTTTTAAATTAATCTGATTTAAAGTTCAAGTTTATCCCGGATGTTCTATTCCTATTAAATGTTGTAAACATTCTGTAAAACGTTAAACATGAACCTGTAAACCAGACCAATGATGACACGAATGAATTGAAATATTTAACTGAATCACAATAAAATTAGCTTCGATTTCAATGGAATGTTGAAATTAATTTCAATGTTTTATGACCTGAATCGTCAGTGACCCAACGGTTCACGGATGATCTAGTACAATATGTAAGTTACGGAATCAATACAATGTCAGCGGTTTCACTTAATATTTTGTCAGTGACGATTGTAGAAATAGCCTTTAAATGACTATATCAAGATTTACTGCCATTACAGTTTTATTTTAACGACTTCTTATTTTTCTTGTCTCGGGCTTCATCTTCGCAGTTACTGACAAATGGTAATTCTATTGAAGAATATGATGTCAAGTCAGCAAAAGAATGAAAGGGGCGCTACTTGATTTCAGTTGAAAATGAAAAAAAAAGAAGGGAAGATAGACGTGTTTAACGTCTGTTTCAGTGAAATGGAAAAAAAGTTGTCAGTTTTATAATCTTTTCATTTTGTACCCCCTTACTTAAATAAATTTATTAATAAAAATGTTTGCAAAACAGGTTTTTCAATATGTTTTATTATTTACACTCGGACTAGTATCCCTATCTTTGTTGTTATTATCATAAAGTTTCAGCCGTTGTGCCATACGGCCTACATCAGAACAAAACGTTCCTTATACTTATTCACCTAGAGAAAAACTGAAGATATATGGACGATTCACAAACTGGGCATCATTCGTCATCCTCTTCTTTTGTTTTTGTTTTTATGGCTGTTAATAAACAACATTGTAATTGCAGTGAATGAAGCTGAACGTAAATTAAATCTACCGTGGAAAAACTCAGAAATCAGTGCCCTTTCTATATATTTTTGCCTTAATTAATTACTTTCTGTTTTAATTAAACCGCATTAAGTCGAAATTATGGCTAGTTTTTTTTTGCGATGAAGTACTAATGATTTGAGCTTGTGTTTCCCCATAAAATATCCCTTTCATGTTATATATTTATATTCAAATTACTAGAAGCTTCACCCATGTGACAGTTATTACAGTCTATATCTATGGATATTTCGTCTAGTTCTTATTCTTTCATAGCCCACATGAGCTGGGGATGGTCTTGGGCAACAACATCAATTCGATAATAATGTTGCATTCTTCTCTAGCGGTAGGTAATCGCTAGTCGTTTTGAGTTCAAAGATAAAAGACACAGGGATACTTTTAACTTAGCTATTTATTAATCATGTCAACGGGTACATTTCTAACTATCTAGTGGGGTCGCTCCCCCTCCACTGGGGAGCTGTTTCAGACATGAAAGGAAACACTTGTACATTGCTTGACGGTTCAGAAACAACTCACTGAAAACCCTCTCTATACCTATCATTCTCCCGTTAGCCAATTAAAATCAACTTCCTATATTTTGTCTTCCATCTGACCTCGAAGGTCATCCTCAAGAAGTCCAAGCAGAGACGCCATTCCCTCTAAAAATAATAGTTTGTTAAACTATTATTTAACGTTATTTCAAAATTGCTCAGTTATCGTCCATTACCATTGAGTCTAAATGCACACTGCCTGGCTCAGTGATTGAACTCATAGTTACTATGTCACCAAATTTACGAACCAAGGTTTTAATCCACTAGGTTATTGTGCCGTGGTACAATCATGTGTGATGAACTGTGAGCTTTAATCTCTTTTGTTACTTCTGTTGTTGTTGAAGACCTGCTGTCATTTGTCTTCTTTTCTTTATTAGCGATTCCCATATCGCAAACAAAGAACTGCATCAAATAACAGAAACCACTTCATTTGAGGACTACCAACAGCCGCAAAAACTAAAATGGATAGCACACGTGGCTCGAAGATAAAATAATGACGTAATCAAGATATTGATGTTCCACACTACTTCAAACAAAAGGTTAGGAAGGAAACCCTCATCAATACTGGAAAGAGCGATAACAGCGACCGGACTTGAGAAACCTGTTTTCGTGAAAAAATTGTTTCAAGAGAAAGATTTTATAAATTTCAAGCGAAAGTAGAACTGGCTGCTTGGTCAATGAACGTCAAAAGTTTCCTTGGAAGGAAAAGGCTAACATTACCGTTGTGCTGTAAATAGAAAAGGTAGACACATATATAGAAAATAAGAAGTAGTTTATTCCGAAGAAAAATATGGTACACAGTTGAGAAGACTAATGTAATAAACAATTAATCGTTAACTTCTCGCTATTTACCCTTCAGCATAGCCCCGTCTGGGTTCCTCTCCGCCTGGAGGCAAAGAGTCGACAAGCAGAGTTAACTGTAATCGTTAACTCTTTCGTATTTACCCGAGATACAAGGTGTTATAAGGCCAGTTTTTTATGTGGGGCGTCCCGAGCCCGTAGACTCAGGCAAAAAATGCCTGTAGACCCAGTATACACGGGGTCGGGTAGCTGTATACCCCCCACCAGTCGAGAATCTGCACTTTGGTATAACCTCGTCTGGGTTCCTCTTCACCCAGAGACAGAGTCGACAAGCAGAGTTAATTCCACTTTCTCAGTAAGAGATTGTGCTGTTTAAATAGTCTTAGACCAATCCATGTTGTGGGGCTGTTCAGTTATTCCATAATAATTACAATATCTCATGAAGAAAGAAAGGCAAATTGCAGCAAGTCTTAGATACCAGCATCAGCTGTAGCGGAAGAAAAACTTATGTGAGTGCACTCAGCCGAATAAGTACTGAAATAAGAACTAGACGAGATATCCCTAGACATGATCAGTGGGACGAGAGAAATCTATCCCCGTAGATTAAATAAAGGGCTCTGTGGGAAACCATCACAAATTCGCACAGCCGCAAATCAACTCTTCTCTCGTGTCGGTTTCCTCCG